TCTAAACTCTGGACAATAAAGATTCCTACATAGCCCCCTCCCAGTCTGCGAACACTAGAGAGGAGACGATTTACAGAAGGATCATTGATGAAATGGTTTCAATCTATTAATAGAAACGAAATCTTCTCCTGAAGGAAACTTTATCTTGAATGCTTTATCATTTCTTGAAATAACTTCAAATGGACCGGAGTACTTTTGTCTAAGACTTGCCAACTTTCGCTCTTCCCTGATTAGTACTTGCTTACATGTTTTGAGATCATTTGGGATATCGAATTTCAAATTTCCCGCCAAATGCCATTCAGGTTTTTTTACTACTTGATTGGTCACTGCGTTTCTCAACCGTTCAACGAAAGTCGATGGCGCTTGGTAAGAGATTGGGAACGATGGCTGTCCAGGAAAACGAACTTTGCTACCGAAAACGTAATCTGATGGAGCAAAGCCCGAATCCGTGTTCGGTTGATTCCGGATTCCAAGTAATGCCCAAGGTAATTCCATTTCCCAATTACTTCTGCCTTCAAGTCTTGATCGTAAAGCACTTTTTAATGTTCTATGGAATCTCTCGATTTTACCGTTCGCCTGTGGATGGTAGGCCGTCGTTACATTCACCTTAAAATTCAAAATTTTGCTTAGTTCTTTCCAAATGGCACTTGCGAATTGAGGTCCGCGATCAGAAACGACTGTATGTGGGACGCCAAACAACGCTATCCAATCGATCAGGTGTTTCGCACAAGCAACACTGTTGGAACCTTGAGGTTGACTCTCTAATGGGTATGCAGCAACGAATCCCGAGTAATTATCTATCACCGTAAAGAGCATGTTTTTACCATTGCTTTCTGGTAACGGCCCAACCAAATCTACATGAAGAAACCCAAATCGTTCCGATGGAGTCTCAAGATGTTGGAGGGGTGCCTTCACGTGTACTGAAATTTTACTCTTTTGACAGGTAACACAATTCTTCGTCAACCTTTGGAAATCTCGTCTCATTTTCGGCCAAAAGAAATTTCTTGATGCATTTCTGTAAGCTGCCTTGAATC